AGACAAACCCTTGCCAGCCTCAATTTATTTTCTTGTAATAGCTAAGATTCTCTGTTCCCAGCCTCTGTCCAAGTTGAAATATGGTATTGTTGCCCCCAAGTGACCGTTATTGAAGTGTAAGAAGCTAAGCCTAGAGCCTGAGTACCTGGGCCTACCACCTTTGAAGAGTCATGCTGTGTGGAGTTGACATTCTCACATGAGAGGAAGGCAGCAAGCAAACATACAGCCAGAAACAACTGCTCTCAAGGGATGGAGTGTGGTCCTGATGTCATCATGGCTGGGCAGATGCCTCAGATCAGGCCGTCTCCAGCTGGTGGCTTCTGAGAACTAAATAGAGTAAAGGAGAGCCATGGAAACATGAAGAGGTAAAGGAGGGTCTTTCTAGACATGGGGATGAGCAACAGTGAGGACGCTTGGATGGAATGCGTTAGACGTACCAGAAAGTGAAAATGAAGCAAGGGGAAAAGGAAGGGAATGAGGAAAAAAAACTAATCAGAAGCCAGACCACACAGCAAATAAGCCACAGAGGTGTCTGATTTAACTCTAACGTGACAACGGGGCTGGAAGGGTTTTTGGCCGGGAAGTAACGTGCTTTGTGATTGACAGTTGGCTCCCAATGTTGTACGGAGGAAAGATTGTCAGAAAAGGAGGAGTAAGTGAGGGGGGATGCCGGCTCAGACCAGGGTAACACTGACAGAAGAACACTAAGGATCAGGACATGTAAGAGTGAAGGTGGGATCCACATTGCATATGCCTTGAATAAGGGGTGCGAGAAAGGAGACCTCTGTTTCTTCCTGGTCCTGTGGGGGAGTAGTAGTACCTTTCACTCCTAAATCATTGTCAGTTGGGTGTTATCCATGCGGCTGCACCACAGGTGTACCCACTGGCCAATCTGGTGAGGTCATTTTCTCAACTGAAGTTCCATCTTCCAGAATGACACTAGCTTATGTCAAGTTGACATCAAACTAGCCAGCACAGACTGACTGTATGCAAATACACACACACACACACACACACACACACACACACACAAGCAGTTTGTAGTCTAGTGAACCCAGCTTAGGATGTCATAGCTAGGTGATGAGGAAATAGCACTCGAGTAAGCAAAAGTAGAGCTTGTGTAGGGAATAGGAGGTTCATGAGAACTACTACTCCCCCACGGGACCAGGAAGGAGTTTGAGCCAGACCTGGTGGGGCTTGGGAGGCTGTGTTGAGAAGATCCCAAGTTCAAAGCCTGCCTGGACCACAGAGAGACTGAGTTTGCAGCCTGGGAAAGCTAGTGAGACTCTGCTTTAAACAACAGGTTCAAAGAGGCTAGACATCTTGTTCAGTGATGAATGTTTCCGGGTGTTCACTAGGCCCTAAACTGAATCCTCAGTACTGCAGAGAGGAAAGATGCTGGGAGGAAAGGAAAAGAAAAGGAAAATTGGTGGCGATGTCACTGCAGGGATGTCCTCAGATTCCATCCTCCCTTTGTACCCTGACCACCTCCTTCGGGCTCAACCACCACCACCATCACCATAGCCCAGACAGTCTATTCCCTGAGCACACAGTGAGGCTGGGTGTTCATGGGAACCTGCCCAGGGCCTGCTTCCTTCCACACCAAACACCTGCACATCTGAAGTATGGCCTCTGCCTGAACCATGATCTTTTCTGCAAGGAGAAAGTTCTTTGAGAAGGGACCCTGAGTTTCAAAGGGAGGCTTCAAAGCCTTTTACAACTAACGTGTGGTTCTGAGGCACAGACTCCCTGGTTCCTGCAAACACCTGGTTCTGGAAGACATGTTTACTGCCTATGAGTACGGTGCTGTGTGCGGAAATAAACAAGGGGATAGTTTGTTTCCACAGGAACCATTTGCAGGTAGTTAAATATTAATAACATCTGTAATTGTGCCTGAGAGTTTTAACTGGGGCAGATGCTCGGGCCCACTGGAGTCGTATTGGAAAAAGGGACATCAGGGGGCCTAGACACACATCTATAATGTGAACGATGCCCCTTGGAGTGGGTCAGAGCAGAGCGTTGGTAGCCCTGTGTAAGGAAGGAGGGATAGATACACAGTTAATTCATTCCCTAGCCTGGCAATACTTAACACTACCCTCCAAGCTGCTTCAGAGTAGGTTTTACAGCTAAATTTTATAAATGCTTCATGTGATACCTAGCATACATCAAATATGCCACTATCAGTACACAGGTACAGAATCTCTGAAGTCATCAAATCAGACTAGAAAAATAATATATTACTAACAAGCTAAGAAAATGGATTTAAATAATAAACAAAAAGGCAAAAAAAGTGAAGAAATGGTACATGAGATAAAGTAAAACAAGTAACAAATTACTAGATACAAAACGTCAATGGACTGACAACAGAAAGTTTTACTAGCTTGGGCAGGAGAAAATCTCAGCTAAGTTGCTCACAGAAATATATATTAAATGTAGAAAAATTGAAACACTAAAAGAATTGAAAAAGATAAGCAATGCAAACACCAGCCAAAAGGAATTCAGTCCAGCCACACTGTGGTGAAGGTACTCTTTAAAACAAGAAGCTTTACTGACAGAAAGAACTATTAGTCAGTAACTGCAAGGCAACAGTTATAACTTTCAATGTATCTTTTTAACATAGGTTAAAATATTACAGAGCTATATGGAATGGTGACTTCTTCCTTTTTTATTGTTATCATTTATTACAATTCATTCAATTTGTATCCCAGCTGTGGTCCCCTCCCTCATCTCCTCCCAATCCCACCCTCCCTCCTCCTCCTACCCCTATGCCCCACCCCTAGTCCACTGATAGGGGAGGTCCTCCTCCCCTTCTATTTGAGCCTGGCCTATTAGGTCTCATCAGGACTGGCTGCACTGTCTTCCTCTGTAAACAGGTAAGGCTGCATCCCCACCCCCAGGGGAAGGTGATTAGAGAACCTGCCACTGAGTTCATGCCAGAGAAATTCCCTACTCCCCTTACTAGGGACTCCACTTAGAGACTGAGTCTATGAGCTACATCTGAGCTAGGGTTTTAGGTCCTCTCCATGCATTGTCCTTGGTTGGGGTATCATTCTCTTCAGGGCCCCCAGGGCTCATTTTTTTATGACTCTGTTGGTCTCCTTTTGGAGCTCTTATCTTTCTGTCTCTCACTTCTTTCATAAGATTCCCTGCACTATGTCCAAAGTTTGGCTATTAGTCTCAGCTTCTGCTTCAATACCTCGATCAGTAGAGTCTTTCAGAGGCCATATGGGGTAGGCTGCTGTCCTGTTCCCTGTCTTCTCCTGCATCCAATGTCTATCGAATTTGTCCTTCTGAATGAGGATTGAGCATCTTCCCTAGCTAAAACAGAGAATTCTCAATAGAGGAATATCGAATGGCAGAGAAACACTTAAAGAAATGTTCAACATCCGTAGTCATCAGGGAAATGCAAATCAAAACAACCCTGAGATTTCACCTTACACTCATCAGAATGGCTAAGATCAAAACCTCAAGTGACAATACATGCTGGAGAGGATGTGGAGAAAGGGGAACCCTTCTCCATTGCTGGTGGGAATGTAAACTTGTACAACCACTTTGGAAATCAATCCGGCACTTTCTCAGACAATTAGAAATAGTGCTACCTCAAGACCCAGCTATACCACTCCTAAACATATATCCAAAATATTCTCAAGTATACAACCAAGGACATTTGCTCAACCATGTTCATAGCAGCTTTATTTGTCATAGCCAGAATTACAACCCAGATGTCCCTCAATTGAGGAATGAATACAGAAATCGTGGTACATTTACACAATGGAATACTACTCAGCAATTAAAAACAAGGAAATCATGTAATTTACAGGCAAATGGTGGGAACTAGAAAAGATCATCTTGAGTGAGGTAACCCAGAAACAGAAAGAACACACATGGTATATACTCACTCATAAGTGGATATTAGCCACATAATATAAGATAAACATACTAAAATCTATACTCCTAAAGAAGGTAAACAACAAGGAAGACACTAGGGAAGGGTGACTTTTACATAAAGGTTTTGAGTTAGAATGTGTCTAGAAAAGGTAAAATTCCTTCCTGAGGGAACTAATAACCAATAGACGAACAAGAACTGAGAGATCATCTGTATTTATAGATTAAGAAATCAGCAAGGAAGATTGGGAGGTGACTCAGTGGGTAAAGACTCACTACACAGGCATGAGGACCTGAGATTGAATCCCCCTGTAGCCATGTATAGCAACCAGACATGGCCATACATTTCTCTAGCCCAGCACTGGAGGGCAGAACAGGCTGATTCCTAGGGCTCGTTGGCAGCCAGCCTATCCAAAATGGTGGGCTCTAGGGTGAGTGAGAGACCCTGTCTCAAAATATACAAGGTGGGCATTAATAGAAGATGTCAACCTCTGGCCTTCACACACACACACTCACACCTCACACACACACTCACACACATACACCCAAACATAAAATGTAATTAAAATTAAAAGTCAGCAAGGGTGTAGATCTCTATATTAACACAATCTAAGGGATGTTAAACAGAATAATGTACTAAAGAAAGATAAAACACATACTTTTCGGAACTAAGAAAATCTGCTACAACTGGCCTGATGCTAGACCATAATCCAAACTAATAAAAAATTTCTAAGGATTTTCAAAATGACGCAACGTGTTTCTAACCTCAGTAGGATTTAACTAGAATCCAGTTGTCTTTAAAAATTACTAGGAAATTCCTGCCCCTGGAGGTGTGGCAGATGTGGCTGTGTCACACGCATGTCAGAAGGCAGCAGAGGGGAGAGCGGCTATGTCTCTCCTCCGTGTTCTGACCTGTGAAGATCTCAATGATTAGTGGCCTAACATTCCCTGAAAAAAGTGAACCTGAGACAACCACCATGAGTGGCTCACTCTCCACAGTGGCCCATGGACCTAGGTGGGGCTCTTCTAGTCTGTGGCCCACTCCCCACCCTGGGAGCCGGCCTGGGCCTCTGTGGCCCAGGCTGGTGGTTGTCTCAGGTTCACTTTTTTCAGGGAATGTTAGGCCACTAATCATTGAGATCTTCACAGGTTAGAACACGGAGAAGAGACATAGCCGCTCTCCCCTCTGCTGCCTTCTGACACGCGTGTGACACAGCCACATCTGCCACTCCCAGGGTGGGGAGTGGGCCACAGACTAGAAGAGCCCCACCTAGGTCCATGGGCCACTGTGGAGAGTGAGCCATTCATGGGCCCGGGAGAGCTGGTTCTACCTCTTGTCTGCTGTGCTGTGGCATCAGCAAGGGAGAAATTCCTCTCCCCTCCCTTTTGTCCTTGCCACCAAAGCAGTGGGTGGGAGGGAGGGCTGGCCCCAACAGGAGAGCTGGAAAACTGGCTCTGCCCCTCACCTGCTGCAGTACTTGGGGGAGCAGAGCCTATATCTCACCTGAGCACAGTAGAGCTGATCTTGATTGCAGGACTTTAGTGAGCTGGTTCTGAGGGTGTGAGCATGGGAGCGCTGGCCCCACAACTTGTCTGCTGGGTAGTACTGCAGATGAGGGAATGATGCCCTTCGCCCTTTTCTCATCCCTCCCCACCTATGACAGGTGGGAGAGCTGACCCTGGGTCATGAGAGTGGGAGAACTGGCCCTGTCCCTCTCCAGCTGCAGCACTCAGGAAAACAGGCCCTGCACCTTGCCTGGACAGTAAGATAGAGCTGGCCCTGTTAGTGGGGGTTGCTGGCGAGCTGACCAGCTCAGGTACCTTAGGCCCAGGTCCAGGGCTTTCAATTCCCCCACCCCAACTTCAATCAACCGCATTGATGAACTGCTGGAGTGCATGAAGGCAGGTCCTTTAGACCCCAAACTGCAAGATCTCCATGACACAGGGCAACAACAATATATCTGAGAGCCCCAGTGATGTTCCGGTATTGATAGAGTAGCAGAAGCCAGAGGCCTCATATTCGACCAACAAGTCATCGAAGTGAGCATATGCAAACAAAGAAAATGTGGACAAAAGGGTATATTGTGACACACTACAGTTTCCACAAGGACATTTTTTCTCTCTGTTTGAGGGGGGGAGGTTGCAAGGGTGGAGGAGGGGGTATGAGGTGAGAGAGAGATGAGTGGGATCGGGGTGCATGATGTGAAATTCACAAAGAACTTATAAAAAGTTTTTAACGTAAGAAAGAATTCCTAAAAAAAAAAAAAAAAAAAAAAAAGCCCCAAATACATTTCAGATAGCAATGAACAGTAGCTCTGATTAATAATAGTATTGATCAGATATACTTTAGATCTTCAAGAGTAAAACTCTTCTGGCAGCATCACACACAGGGTAGACCATGGCAGGTGTATTATATTATATTATAAGGCAATGTTGTGGATAAGTTCAGTAGGGGAACAAAGGCATGTCCTCTGACCTATGAGGCCTGGTGGCTGCAGAAGGTCTTGTAGGAATAGAGAAGCTTAAAGGTTAGTTCTTACAGAAGGGGAAGAACTTGACAAAGTGAAGACTGAAGAAAGAGGCTGTTGATGCCCTGAGTCGTATGACGCAGCTAGCGACAGATGAGGGCCAGAGCAGGATGTGATGGTCAAGGTGTAAGACATTTAGACCGGTGCAAAAGTGAGCTATCAGGAGAGCAACAAGGGAGAAAAGCTGAAGGGCGCAGATGCTGAGAGCCTGGACAGGTGCTGCGGGTGTTATTCTGAGGCTCACAGTAGGAATCACAGGAACCTTTTCACCACGTATCTAGGAAGAGTCAAACCTGGGCGAGGCGGCCTGGTGTTTGCGTGTGAAGTGGACCCTAGCTGGTAAACTTGGGAGCATAGATCAGGGAGACTGGGAGAGAGGCTCAACCTTGACAGTGATGTGATGGGGGAAGGGGAGAGCAGGAAGCTGCAGAGAAGCCCAGACCTCCCTCCCAACAGAGCCACCCACATCTCTCACTCGCACAGCAGCCTAACAATGCATTAAAATCGCTGCCTAATTGCTCCTTTCAAAGTTAATGCTCTGAAATAGGGAAGTGTGTGTTTAATGTTTAGTCTCATCTCTGCCACCCAAGCCCCGATTTGAAAGCCAAATCTCTTTTAAAAATAGCATAAGATAAACCCCTAGACACAGCTCCGACCCTCAGAATCCCACGTTTTCCTTTTTCAGATCTGTCTTTCTTTGGATATGTGGCTGGCAGTTTGAGCAGGTGACCTGGGAAACCTGTCTGGATGAAATGGGGGGGGGGAGCTTTGGCAGCTTCCCCCTGGCTCCATCCTTGAACTCACAGGCAGAGGCCAGGAAGGCCTTCAGTCATGAGGCATGGCCGTTGTTTCTGCCCCTTCATCTCCACAGCCTCTTTCCCACTCCTGACTATTGGAACAGGTTGTGCCACAGGGGTACCCTAGCCATATTCAATCTAGCAGGAACCAGCTTTCTCTCCTGTCCTCAGCAATCACTGCAAATCATGAAGGTGGCACAATCTTTGCACTGGCTTCCCCTCATAGGTTTACAACCTCCCCCGACAGCCGGTGAGCAGGACCATTTCCTGCCGACATCCCAGTTGTAACTTTCCTACTGGAACACAGAAGGAGGGGTCAGGTTCGTCCCCTTCTGCTGCTCTTTCCAGGCACCCACACCTACCTGGCAAACCCCTCTATAATTCTCCTACCGCCAGCTTCTGTTAGGACTTCCTAGCCAAGCCTACTTCCCTAATGTCCTTGTCACCAAGGACCTTAATACCACCGAATAGCTGCATAGTTCCTACCCTAAAGTTAAAAGGAGCTCCTCTGTTATGTCCTCTGGTTATAACTCCCATGTCTACACTCCCTGGAACAGCTCCGTCCTAGTCTCCTGGCCAAATCCCTGGAGTTATCTAGAACCTTCAAGCTGTGACACTTCCCAAGTCTCCATTTCCTTGTTTATGAAATAAAGAGGAGACTGTTCTGTGCATCAGGATGGTTGCAGGCGTTACATGAGATAAAATGTGTACGGTAGAAGCTTGGAGGATAGGAGTTAGGCGGTGGTTAACTGTGGTCATTGGAAAGCCTGGCCTTGCCCCTGAGCCAGAGCTTACCGATTCACCATGCTGGGTAGTCACCTGGGTATCTCTCCACCCAGCACCAGACTGGTAGAGTGCGCAGAGCTAAAGCTCCAGGGCTTGCCCACACCTGACAGAGCAGCCTGCCTTCTCTCCTGTCATAATCATAATCGCTATTTTCTAAGCTTTTAGTGTATACATTTTATCCCATGTAACATTTCCAACCTTCTTGCTGCATGTGATAGTTTCATCTTCATTTTATAAACAAGGACATGGAAACTTGGCAAGTTTAACTAACTACCTACATGTTGTGGCTTGGGCTTATAAGGTGAGAAAATAAGGACCCAAAGAGGACGTGAGGTGTCCTGCCAAAATCTGCATGACTAGCAACAGACTGTTTTGGGGTGTGGGCCTGAGACTCTGTATTTCCAACAAGGTCTAGGTGACACCAGCACTGTTGTGGCCCATAGGTCACACTTTGAGCGGTGAGCTCCAGACACCCCTTCCCTTTGGCTTGGGACACTGGGAATCCCGCTGTCTGAGCACCCTGCCTGCTGTGTTTTTCCTCATAGATGGTCAGATCGCCATGTGCACAGAGCCCACTGAGCTGAGGGGTTGGCCCATCACGCGGGTGGGGAACCCACTCCAGTACATGTGCATCACACACCTGGACAGCCACGACTACATCTTCCTACTCCTCATCGGCTTCTGCATCTTCGCCGCGGGCACTGTGGCCGCCTGGCTCACCGGGGTGTGTGCGGTGCTCTACCAGAATGCCCACCGGAAGTCCAGTGGGGATGAGGAGTCCCCACTGTCCGAGGAGGAGAATAGGTTCGCCAACCAGATTTTTCGAAGCCACACTAACTTCAGACAGGGTCGTTTCCCTCAGCTGATCTAGCTGTCAGAGACCATTACCAATTGTGCCTTCCCTGGTCTGGCTCCCTGCTTTCTTTCTTGCCCTCCTGTCTTGCCACCGCTATCTTGGAGACTGAAGCCTCCCAGGAAAATGAACGAAATAAAATATTTGGTGGTCATTTCAGAGGCTGGTCCCTTCCTGCTCGGCCAGCCCATGCACACTTCCTTGAGCTCAGCAGGATGGAGTAAAACAACGTCCAGAAAGGTTGCTGGATTCATCCAAATAGCCAGGAAGCCCACCCTAAAAGCAAGTAGACTTGCGTTTAATTGCTATGTCTCAAAAGCAAGTGCTGGAGAGACATGAAAAAAAAAATCCAGGAGATAAGATCTTTCTCAAAGAGTCAACAGTCTGCAGGGACGTGAAAAGCACTTTGTGGCCATGTTACCTTCACATGCCATCCCATAGTTATCTCAATGATCAAGTGATATTGGTATAGCCTACCAGTGAGAACCTGAGGCCTGGGCGTATTTGACTGCTGGAGTCCACATTTTCTCTTTTCCATGAAGCCTCCTCCCTAGCAAATATTTAGCAATATCACCAAAGGTTGATCATCTAAGATAGTTATGTATAATTACCATGTTCCAACGCCTTGGCCAAACGGAGGTGTGAGGCGCACCTCTGTCACTGTTAACAGAATCCTTAGCAATGGCCTATCATTGTAACCAGCTTTGTGCAGCTTTCACCCACTAGGTTAATTCTAACAACAGCCCGGTCACGTGTTCAATGTGATCCTTGTGTTTCTGAGGTGCTTGGCCACATGGCAGCAAACTCGAGTTTAAACGAGTCGGTAAGAGAGCAGAGCAACAGTTAAGTGCCGGCTGTCTCACACCGAAATGATGCTCTGTGCCTCTGGGAGCTGGGAGCAGCAGAGTTTACAGGACTGTGGTCCCCCTGTCAGTGCCACACACAGAGACAGAAAGGGAGAAGAGAAGGGCAGCTCAGCACAGGTCCAAAGACGCATTCCAGGTTTGCCTTTGCTTGCTACCCAGATCAGATCACATTCCTGGTGGAGGCTCAGATGATAACCTCCCTCCATGCAGGTGGCCCCTAAAGCCCCTACTAGACCCATTCTTACCTCTAAATCTCCAATCAGCAGGTTTCTCTCAGTTCGTTCACTGCAATCATTTAGAGCATGGGTCTTGAATGAGAAGCTGACCTCCTATGCCCAGCTTTGTATTTAACTATGTAAATGCAGGCTTCGTACTCATAATGATGATTGGAAGTGCAGCAACAAATCTCTCGTTATCTGGTCTCTGCTTACACACTACATACCCTGGTGCCCCATACAAAGCACGGGCTCAACAAATGTTAGTCACTGAATTCCACTCAGAGCCCACCCCAGCAACAATTCCTACTTGGTGATCCTGAAGTAAGGAGTGACACATGGGTGAGTTATTTCACTTCTGTGTGATGTCTCAGTTTCGTTCCTTGCATATGACAGAAGTCACAGTATTTGTCATTTAGGCAAATTGTGTTAAATAAAAATGACTATCAATCACAAGAATCTATTTTAATAAATATGTGTGTTGTGGAATCACTTGAGATTTACAGAGAGCTTGCAATGAAAGTTTTCGTATGCACCTCACCCAGTTTCCAATAATGGCACCTCATGTGACAATGGGCTATTTCTCAAAACTCACACACAGGTTGGAATATCGTTTGTTTTGTTCTTCAAGACAGGGTTTCTCTGTATGTTCCTGGACTGGAACTCGCTCTGTAGATCAAGATGGGCTCAAACTCAGAGATCTGTCTACCTCTGCCTCCCCAGTGCTGAGATTAAAGGCGTGGGCCACCACCACCTGGCTGGAATATGACTCTTACACTCCAGACTTCTCTAGAGTTTACCAGTTTTCCCTTAATGCCATTTTTTTGTTCTATGATCCAAAGCAGAATATCACACTGGCATTTAGAACATTTTATAGTAGTAGTAATTAAATCCAGCATATATTAGATAGCTCTAGAAGCCAGAAGTTATTTTAAGTGTATGTGTATACAGGTACGTATAGTATTTAATCATTAGAATCTTATGAGGTCAATACTACTCAACTACAGTATGAAATTGAGGCTTCAGAGGTGAATTTGCTTGCTACACATTACATAGCTAACAGGGCCAGAAGTCAAACCAACTCTATCTGATGATATACAGTTTTCTCCGACAATGTTCTCAGTGTTTTTATTAATCCTTGGACCATTTCATACCATGTGTACTTTGATCACATTCACCATATCACCAAACTATTAATCAGTTCTAGCTCAGAAATTTAAACTACCGAGAAAGTCTTGACAGAAGGAACGGAACTGCAGTTTTTCACAATAGCTTCTCCATGAAGATCAGACCACAGAATGGACATGGCACTTGATCTAATGGGCCCTGGAAAGGCCACTGGGCTGAGGGGGGAGGTGGTACTTCTTGACAGAGACTAAAATCAACAGAGCGCTGAGTGAGAGATAGGCATGCAATTAGAAGGAACATAAGGGGGATGGACACATACCCAGGAAGAAGGAACATGAGGGGACACACAGGCTCGCACACACGTACACATATACACACCCAGTGTGCAGTAGGGAGTGTTAGAAACTTCCCCCCAAAAAGAAACTTCTAAGCTATGGCTTACAGATCAAGGTAGGATTATCCAAAGTGGCAAAAAGGAAAAGTGGCAAAGGAGGTCAGTAGGTGACAAGAAGCTTTCTAAGCAACAAGAACTGCACACACAAAGGCTTCAGGGCGGGGAAGAGCCTCGCATTCACTGTGGTTAAAATATACAGTCGAAGGGAAAGAAGAGATGCAGTGAGAGAACGAAGCGCAACCAGATCCCCAAGGGCCTTCCGGAGACCTTGTATTACTCAGGGTTACTGGGGGATTTACACTGCAGTTGCAGACCACTCCAAAGGATGACTGACTTAGCACACTTCTTCCTCACTTGTGTAAAATCATGTGGGCGGGGCAGCCTCTCCTCTGTCCTGTGGCTACAGAACCTAACACATGAGCCTCAGAAAAAGAAAACAAATGTCATAGGTACATTTCTGGGCCTAAGCAAATTAATGACTCAGGTAACTTTCACTCACTTTTTTTTACATGGCTGCCCCAACCTTATTGTAAGGAAAAGTATGTGCTGGGAAGACAAAATGCTATAACAAAAAAAAAAAAAAAAAAAAAAAAAAAACTATATCTCACCATGATAAGGGATTTTAATTTTCTTCTGAAATACACTCAAGAATTTTACTTACAAAATAACACCTGATTTTTGCTTTAGAGAGTTTATTCTGGGGCTGGAGCATTTGCCTGGTATACGTGAGGTCCTGTGTTTAATCTCCATCTCTGTAAAAAGAAAAGGAAGAGGAAGAGGAGAGGAGTAAAACTCACTCACACTTACCCTGGCTATGAGGCAAAGAGGAGGTGAGTGAGGCTTGAGAAGGTGAGGGAAAGCGACCAAGGGCAGCAGACACAGAGACAAAGAGAATGGGACAAATTTTAAAAGTAAGATCAGAAATAGAGATACAGAATGTGATGGGTGGCTAAACATGAAGTTGGGGAAGAATTATTGGCAGGAAGATTGGGAAAAAAGAAGGGTACCCAAAGTTCAGATTCGGTCTGCCAGGTAGCTGGCAGAACGAGTCACTAAGACAAGTCACTAAAGACAGAGTATCACAGCATCCTAGAGGCCAAACATAAAATATGTAAATAAACAAATAGATGGATGATCCACAAATCATGGGACATGTGTGAAAGACCCAAATATGGGACAGAGCTCATGGCTCCCTCTCAGTGGAGACAACAGCATCTAAAGCTGAAAAGTCACGTAGGAGCAGTGTAAGCGTATCTTTCAGAGATATCGAGAGTCATTCCAGTGGGTTTCAAGTGTCCGTCTCTCAGGAGGGAGAAGCATGCCACAGGGATGGGAGACTGCTGTTTTCATAACCACTGGTGTACAGCTACTTTCTAAATAAAGATGCGAGTGTATATTTGATACAAATGGATGTTTAAAAATTAAAAGAACAGATGACCTGGTTTAGTAAATTGCTGCCTTCTTCCAAGAGAAATCCTTACCTACCTTCCCTGGGGGCAGCCATCATAGCTCCAAAGGGTACTGTGCCTGTGCTCACACCAGCCACTGATCTTCACTGGCACTGGGCCCCTGAACTTGAGTCCCACAAAAATCAGTGGGGTGTTTTCTACAAGAAGCCACTTCTGACATAGATCCTGAAAAGATCATAGGATTTTACAAGGGAGGAAGCGTCTCAGTGGGTGTTAAGGGTGAGAGCAGGGAGGCGCGATGAAGGTGGGTGTGTGGGGAACACCCATAGTTCTCTTTGGCAGCTTGGCGATGAATGGAAGTCGCTAAGAGGGTAGGGACAGAAGACTGATAAGGCATCTTATGAAACTATTTGTTCAGTGTTTCCCCCAAGTAAAGCCCACGGTGTATCCGCACCGGGGTTCTTCCGTCTCAGTCCTTCAAGTCCTCATAAGGGGTAAGCATCAGTGCACATCTTGTGATGTTCTTCAGTGTGTGAGGAAGACTTGTATGAGACAGTGATGAGGCTTCGGGCTTCACAGACTGCGAGAGCTTCTTTGGTCCAGAGTAGGCCTCAACCAGCTGGTCAAGTGACATGGCCCTTCTGCCTGGAAAGAATAACAGATGGGGAGAGGGGGTGGAGGGCATCAATGGCCAACCATCCCTGCTTCCTGCTTCCTGCAATTCCTGCCTTGCTAAAAGGCCTCCACTTCATAAGATAAGGTAGAGAGCTCTGAGTTCAAGCTTCAGCTTTTCTTCTGTACATAAACTTCAGTGTTTGGCTCCAGTTCCTCAAATAAGGTAACTGGGAATTTATAAATCACCAAGGTCACCTCTAATTCTAACCTATGGCTAATATCCAAAATGTCCAAGAGACTGCTGGAAACAGAAAGAAAAATAGAGAACTTTAACAGAAACAGGAATAGAAACAGTTTACAGCAAACACACAAAGATGTAGTTCCTCTCATT